ACTTTTAATAGAAATCGAATACTACATGGTAAGCGGATATTAAATACCGTTGGGCTTCCATGTATTTTATAAACATCTTTTCCATCCACCTAGAAGCAAAATTTCAAAGTACAGGGAGTCCCTCAAAGTTTGAGCAAATAACCCTAAATTTCAAGAAATTAAATCTCAACAACATTTTATTGAACAGGAATATTAACAAATAACATTTCAATATGATTGCCAAGGTTGCTGATGCAGAGGTTGATGTGTTTTGCAAGATTCACGTGAACTCGATGCAATAACTCCATAACTCCATTACCGTCAATTTTAGCCCATTCACTCTTTATGTATAAAATCAAGTGTGTTGCATCTGTGATTTTTATTGAGTACACCTTCTCCTTTAGCATACCATAGAAAAAGAAGTCAATTTTTCTTCTTTCGAAAAAATCATGTTTAATTTGATTGATTTGCTGTTGATTCTTGAATTGATTCAATGACCACTCCATAAGGAATGAAGAAAGGTTGACAGCTTAATAAAAGGAAATAAGACGAATAAAACGTTTATTGCTACCTATGTACTTAAAAGCCAAATATAGGGCGTGTCCCTAAAGTCTGGACACCCTAGGCAAAAACGCATATTAAACAAAAATTAAATTTTGAACAACATTTTATTGAATTGGAATATTAACAAATAACATCGTCAACATGATTTCCATTATTTGTGATGCAAAGGTTCATGCAATTTGCATGATTCACGTGAACTCGATGCAATAAATCCACATTGCCCTCAGTTTTAAAACAGTCACTCTTTCGTATCTGTCTATATTTCTGAGATTAGGTATTATGTACACAATTTACATTATTCGGACTATTGTCCTCATCTTTATCGCCATATTTATTACAACATTTCGGCCCTTTAGTATCTGTCTATATTTCTGAGATGAGGTATCATGTATACAATTTACATTATTCGGACTATTGTCCTCATCTTTGTCGCTATATTTATTACAACGTTTCGGCCCTTCAGTATATGTCTATATATCTGAGATGAGGTATCATGTACACAATTTACATTATTCGGACTATTGTCCTCATCTTTGTCGCCATATTTATTACAACGTTTCGGCCCTTCAGTATCTGTCTATATTTCTGAGATGAGGTATTATGTACACTATTTACATTATTCGGACTATTGTCCTCATCTTTGTCGCCATGTTTATTACAACGTTTCGGCCCTTCAGTATCTGTCTATATTTCTGAGATGAGGTATTATGTACACTATTTACATTATTCGGACTATTGTCCTCACCTTTGTTTCCATATTGATTACAACGTTTCGGCCTTTCAGTATCTGTCTATATTTCTGAGATGAGGTATTATGTACACTATTTACATTATTCGGACTATTGTCCTCATCTTTTTTTCCATATTGATTACAACGTTTCGGCCTTTCAATATCTGTCTATATTTCTGAGATGCGGTATTATGTACACTATTTACATTATTCGGACTATTGTCCTCATCTTTGTCGCCATATTTATTACAAAAATCTCCTGAGCCGACCGAGCATAGAAATGGATAGAATATGGTAACCAGTAATAAGGAGAGACAGAGAAACGCGCTAATAACAACAATGAAAATTGCAGTATGAGCTCTGGTAAAAAAATGTAATGATAACATCAAAAAATTGCAATATGAGCACTGTTAAAAATGGTTGCTGAAGGCATTAGTTTTATAATACCCAGAAAATTATAAACAGATGTCCTCAAGGATACATGGCACAGTGGATAAAGGCGTTAGTTAGATCCAGTGACAGGACCCAAAGAGTGCCAGTTCAATACCTAGTTAAGGGGGTGGAGAACTTGGAGAGGGGAATTAACAGGAGATAACTGGTAACTGACATCCATTAGACATGGCACGTGGAACTAGAACAGTGAGCGAAATAAAGGGATTGTTTCGACATTCCAACCATCTGAAGAAGGCCGGAGCGTAAAACGGCCGAAACGTTATAATAAATATGGCGACAAAGATGAGGACAATAGTCTTATAATGTAAAATAATAATGTAAATAGTGTTTTTTAAAAGGGTTTGGCACGCTATGCTATTAATGGACGATTGTTTGATCTAAATGATCCAAACCTTACTATCAAAGCGTAAAATGAAGGTATTTTGAACAGTCTCGCTTCCAGAACCTTTCACACGAACACGGATGTCCCCCAAGGCTCTATCCTGGGTCCTACGCTGTCTCTGATCTTCATCAATGATCTCCCTGATGGCATCAGTTCCCAAGTAGGCATTTATGCCGATGTCACTGCCACTTACTACTTTCTCAATAGCAGATCTGTTAGAGTTAAACCTGGCAGCTGCTCTTGAAAAGACCCCAATCTGTGGTTAACTGGGGCAGAAAATGTCTCGTAAATTTGAATGCCTCCAATACGAACTCATCCAACTCCCATTATTTGTTTATTTCGGATTTAAACGACCCATGTAGTACATCTAGAACTTGTAAAATACAAAAGTC